AAAATATATATTTATTTTTTAATTTTTTTAAATTATATAAATAAATATATCAATTTTCTCTAAATCTTTAATTTTAAAAAATAACAATTATTTTAAGACATTATAATTAAAATTTTATACTTAAATAGACATGAATCATTACATGTTTATTAATAACAATTAAATAGATTTGAATAACTCACAATATTCAGTATCGACCTTCATCTATAGTAATTTAAATTATATTATCCGATATAATTTAAGTCGCACAAACACCTTTTTAAATCAAAATTCTTAATATACATTTTATTTTTCCTTTAATGGAATACTCAGCATTTGCCTATTTGGTGGCTTTCCCTGAAAGGAAAAGGCGCAGGGCAAAATCCCTTCTTTTTTTTTTTTTTTTTCATTTCGCCAACAGTACAAAAGCTATTTACTGCTTTCAAAAAATTCTCTTCAGCTTGAGCTGTAATATGCCATATATAAAGAAACGCCACAACGCCTTGTATCATTGCTTCCGCTCCTCAACTTTCCCACACCAAGCATTGCTGCAGTGTTTAGAAAAAGAGAGAAACCCTTTACAACCAGGAAAGGTGAGAGCTTTTTAATCATATTCAGATCTGTTTTTCTCTGATTTCTAATCTGCTGCAATCTTTGTTCTAATCGGATGTCTTGGTCTTGTTTATGAGAAATCAAGAATAGTCCTTGAATTCTTGCTGGATTTCATGTTTTTGTTTAATTTCCTCATCATGTTTGTGAATTTGAATTCCTTGCTTTGGATTCTCCGGCCTGTTTGACTGCTAAGAAACTACTAAGTAGTCTTGGTTGTCACGGTGCTTCTGAGTTAATGAAATAGCCGTGGAATTATCAATCAAAGATGAAACCTTTGTTTGTGAAAGAATATCAATGATGTTTTCTATTGATATCTGTTAAAGGGTATGATTGCGAAATTGCAGTGAACTGTTTGTTGTTCTAATTTGTTCAAGTTTGATTCATATCTTTTTGTGTCTCACAATTCATTCTCACAGGATAATAGTTCCCTTCCTAATCTTTTGCAGATATTATTCCAATTTTCCATGACTTCATCGGTCGTATTAGGGATATTTCTGAAATGTTTTTAATTTTCATTTTTGGTTTGTAATTTTCCAGGTGAACATCTCATCTAGTTGGGGCCAAGTAGAAGCTTCAATCTATCCTGATTTGGCTCTTCACCGTTCTGCAAATAGGATAAGTCAAAAAAAGTCAGCTGCCCTTTTCTATTGCTTATTCTCTAGTTTACAACTAGACCAGGGAATGCTGAGATGTGCTTCAAAGTTGAGAAATTTTTGCCCGTGATAGATGAAGCTGTGGCTCCATCTGGGCTGCCTTTATTTGTTCTAGACAACATTCAACATTCTGTTGTAAGTCCCTTTTGGTTCCACGTGGTATCGCCAAGTGTGACCAAAAATTTGAAAGAGCGTGTCTTGTCCAAGCATGATGTCTGTGAAGATGGTTGAGATTTTTCTGTTTTGAGGTCAATTCTAGTTGTTTATATACCTAACTTAATTAGGTTTATTGTAATAGCTGTTTAGTTGTCTTCTATTACTTGAAATGGAGAAGAAAGGGAGCATATTGATGCAAAGGTATGAACTAGGGAGATTGTTAGGCCAAGGAACCTTTGCCAAGGTGCATTACGCAAGGAATCTGAAAACGGGGACAAGTGTGGCAATCAAGATTGTTGATAAAGACAAGATCTTGAAGGCGGGGATGATTGATCAGGTCAAGAGAGAAATTTCTGTCATGAAACTTGTTAGACATCCTAATGTGGTGGAGCTTTATGAGGTCATGGCCAGCAAATCCAAGATTTACTTTGTCTTGGAATATGCTAAAGGTGGAGAACTCTTCAACAAGGTTGCTAAAGGAAAGCTCAAGGAGGATGTTGCAAGGAAGTTATTTCAGCAGCTGATCAGTGCTGTTGATTACTGCCACAGCAGAGGGGTGTATCATCGAGATTTGAAACCCGAAAACCTCTTGTTGGATGAGCAAGGAAATCTGAAAGTTTCAGATTTCGGGTTAAGTGCTCTTGCTGAATCAAGGCGCCAAGATGGGTTACTCCATACAACCTGTGGGACACCAGCTTATGTTGCTCCAGAAGTGATTAGCAGAAGAGGCTATGATGGGCGCAAAGCTGATATTTGGTCTTGTGGGGTTATCTTATTTGTTCTTTTGACTGGTTATCTTCCATTCCATGACTCGAATCTTATGGTGATGTATAGGAAGATTTGTAAGGGAGAATTCAAATTTCCCAACTGGTTTGCTCCTGAAGTCCGAAGGTTGATCTCAAAAATCCTGGATCCCAACCCAAGTACCAGGATATCCATGGCCAAAATAATGGAGAATTCATGGTTTCGGAAGGGATTGGAACCACCAAAGCACCTTCTTGAACCTGAAGGGAAAGATTCAAAAGAGCTAACTGCTCTGGATGCTGATGCAGTTTTCAAGACGAATGAGAACACTAATGATGCTACTGTAGGGGCAAAACAAGAGTCGGGGAAGCCTAGTAACTTGAATGCCTTTGATATCATCTCCTTTTCTCCAGGATTCGATTTGTCTGGCTTGTTTGAGGGGAACAACAAAAAGAAAGAAGCGCGATTTACATCCAACCAACCAGCCTCAGCCATCATATCTAAATTGGAAGACATTGCAAAGCGTCTGAAGCTGAAGGTGAAGAAGAAAGATGGAGGAGTATTGAAAATGGAAGGGTTTAAAGAAGGCAGGAAAGGAGTCCTTGGCATTGATGCTGAAATCTTTGAGATCACTCCGTCCTTCCACCTGGTTGAGGTGAAGAAGAGTAATGGTGATACGTTGGAGTACCAGAAAGTGATGAAAGAAGACATCAGACCGGCTCTCAAGGACATTGTTTGGTCCTGGCAAGTAGAGCCACCAACATCGCCACCACCACCACCACCACCAGTGCTGCAGCAGCAACGGGAAGAACAACTAGATGAAAAATAGCCGTGGTCATTCTATGTTCTCCAAAATTCATGTTTTCTCACCACAGAACTTATAATGATCATCGACTGTGTTTGGTTTCGTCTTGAACTTGATCTGTTTTATGTTTTGTACTTGAAATGTTTAAGTAGTGTTATTCCCTGTCCGGACCATAACCAATCATCTGTTGATCCTGCTTGCTACAAACATCAATCTAAGCATGTTTTTTTTTCTACTATTTCTTGTTGGCCAGATTATCAACTTGGTGCTTTGTTTTCCTGGAGGATGAATTGCCTGTTGACCATACCAAGGAACTTAATAGATATCTGAAGAACTTTTAGGCCATTGCTTATACTTGTATTAGCAAATGGGAAACTAAGCTCAAGGAATCCAATCTTTCCTTTCTTCAGTCTGATGCCAACTAAGGTATTGCATTGTTTTCCAAGAGAAAGCTGATTGCATCATTGCAACTATGATGAGAACAGTGTAGAAAGCTGAGGATAAACAGGGAGACGGGAAAATTCAGTCCTAAAAATCATTTTAGGGCCGAACAAAGCTGAAGGACCAAGTCAGTTCAGGGACAATACAGAATGCTTTTCAAATGGACACACGCCAAGTTGCTTGAAGCAATCTTTCAGATTATAGGCCTTTTTCCTTTTAGGCAAACTCGGGATTTTGAAAAGCATATGCAAACTAGTTAAAACCAATAATGCCATTAGGGTGCTTGATTTTAAGAATTTCCCTCATCTGGGGCGAGAGGGTGCCCCGATAACTAACTAGTATTTTAACAAGAAAGCCTAAACCTGAGATTAGAAGGAAAGTCAATTTATTTATGAACACAAGTTCCCCAAGCTAGTATTATGTCATTAGACTCTTCTATCTGGATTATATGGTAAAAGATGAGCAACTCAAGACAAGGAATAGCTTTCACCTGCCAGAAGAACAAATCTACTACCATCAAAATTGGGGGGGCCACCCTCTTCCCGGCAGCAGATAAGATGATTAGCTAAAAGAATCAAGCAATGCATCAACACTAACAGCTCTAGCGCTCTAGCTGTCGCTGTTACCTTCGGATCAGGGTGAATGCGTGCCCGGGCGTATTCCTATCTAAGCGAATGTAAAGTAAAAGTTAATCTCCCTCATAAGAAGAGAAGGAAGATACAATGCGTCCAGTATTCTAATCCCTCCCCTAACTAAGTAGTAAGGAGGATGGTTGCCTCCAGAGAACAGGAGATGTTTTTTTCTCTAGTCCATCAACTGTCACGTTTTCTATTTTAATCAAATGACCAAAGAGACGACTGTACATCAGGGGTGGGAAATAAACCCCCAACATGGGGCCTAGCAACAAATGTCTTTCCAATGCCTTCTCCTGAACCTGGCACTGTTCCCCATTCCTTTCTGCAAAACATAACAGAACCAAGAATCAGACAACCATTAAGCAACAAACTTTTTTCTTTTGTGATAAATATTAAGCAACAAAATTACGATTAACAAATAACACGAACAAAAATGAACATGGAGTAAAATAAGAAAAAGTGAAGTTCATTCTGGATTGATAGTTCAATTAAAGGGAAATATCACCATGGTTCCATAAAAAGTATGGAATGAAAGAGGAACCGGCTAGAAAAGAGAACAGCACAAAAAAGCCCATAAAGCAATATTTAGGATTCCGTGATAATAAAATCCCACAACAAATTTGTGTCAGAGAATATTCATTAGAGGCTTAGAGCAAACTGTGACTTACTGACCAAAAATCCAACATATGCTTTCCACTAGTCGCTTCAATTATTGCCTACAAATTAACCTATAGAACTTTCAATTTTTAGATTTCATCTTTCTAAAAGATGGGAAACTATCCCTAAAATATAAAGCGGCAAAAAAACTTCCAAAACGTATCCTGCGGGTACCATTCAACAGGTTAATAAAAACACAAGTGCATGTTGTTTGGCACTAGATTTTCTTCAATGTTCTAATTCTAGATAACAATTTCACATGATCTGATGAAATAAGTGTATCAAACAAAACCATGAAAAATAAATTAACACCATGAAACACAACAATTTAAAAGTTATTCCACTTCCATGAGCTACTTGTCCATCTAACTTGACAACTCAAGTGTAACAAACTTGAAAGGAGTAAACAGAATGGTCAGGTTCACTTTCAAATCTTACATAGTTATATTTGTGCCCCTGATAATTTCATTATGAACAAGAAGATCGAAGAATTCTAGTAATACAAGCAGTTTAAACCTCTGACACACCATAGGTGTATAATTCTTTTTCCCCTTATTGGTTATCAGATGAATGTTACACAATATGCACTGTCTTTTTACAGTTTGTCTTAATCATATCCACTCCCTCCATTATTCTCTTACCAAGGATAACATGAGAGAAGCAGTCATGAATTATCAGTTTTAAATCTTTAAAAAATCTGTGCCCCCATAATTACTGAGACTATTAACTAAAACAATTTTAGCAACAGAAAAGACAAGGTTTTAGCTTTAACATTGATGTATGTGAAGTGAAAAAGAAAGCATCGAGGCTCAAACTCAGAACAGTTGCAAGAATATCTATAATATAAAACACATGTTGGTTTTAAGCTGGTTGGTTCAACTGCAGGCGTCTATTCTAATCTTTGTTGCTAATCACATCAAAAGAGTAAGGATATCACTATTCTAGTCAAGAATGAAATGATTCAACAATTGAATGATATATATTTAAGATAGCATCTGAATATGAGGTCATAAGTGTAATGAACTCACTTAGACCAAGAATTTGCTTGGGACAGGTCAAGTGAATGGCTGGCTGCAGATCCACCATGACTCCCATATATTACTTCACTCTTCTCCTCCTGGGGTTTGAGAGAAAGATGATTATCACTGCCAGACAAGGGTTGAAAGAAAGCACTCTTTTTCCATGGATCCTGATCAGTTGAACCAGATACAGGGCTGAATGTTCCACCACTCTGGCCACTACCAAGAAAAACATTCGGAGGAGAATGAGCAAGCACAGGGTCCTCTTTTGTGAACAATGATGCCATAGTCTTCTGATTTGAAGGATACAAGACTTCCTCTTTGTTTGATCTATTATGCTCTAAGGGTAAAAGCCAGCTTGCTGGACCACCTACCAAACCAAGACTATCCTGATAAAGGGGTGTGCTATTCCATATCTGCCATGTGCCTTTCTCTTGTGCACTTGCATCATCCACAGGGAAAGTGTGAAGATCATGAGCCTTAGCAGCATTTGGGAACCTATTAGAATTATTCTGCTTCTCATCAGCAACACGTAATCTTGATAATGGAGACTCAATGGGAGAAGGCTTGCTAACTTCCAAAGAAGGAGAGATATTCTTTGAGGAGCATGACTTCTCCACTCCCACCTCTGTAACAAAACCAGTACCTACGTCCAACTGAAAATTATCAAGTGATTCTGAAACAGGACCAAGCAGGGATACTGGATCAGGAACATAGGATGGGTCTTCAAAAAGCTCCTGCTCTTCAGGTCTAAATTCCTGAGTCCCTTCAACAACTCGAGGGAATATTGGTTCAATTGCAGACGAGAAACCTAAACTACTGTTGGGAGCTCCATTCAGATAGGAAGATAAAAAGGGTGATGGCAACCCAAAGTTGATTGGATTATCAAACGTTTGTATGGATGATGACTGAGCAGCCAACGGTGGGCTCTGAACTTCTGTCTGCAACTTAGAATTTGGTCTACTAATAACACTAGTATTTGAGGATGGATGAATGGATGATGAACGAGTAAATAATTGTTGCCATGACTTTTTAGGTGTTGTCATCAGTTGGGATCCTGAAATGACCTACAGTGAAGAGCAAAATGTTGTAATACTGTTATACTTCTTCTAGATACACTGTTTTAAGCCAACAAAGACCATCATCTTCAGGGAACACTCAAATTTTACCACAGCATTTTAAAATTCTGATGCTTAGCTTCAATATCCTAAAAGATGAGAATGCAACTAGAAATTGACAGACGACAAGACTAAGAAAACTTCACTATGGTACCGAAGCTGGGCTTCAAATATAGATGAGATTCAGGGGCAAAAAATAACAAATCAATATGGCCAGCAGCTAATGCCAATGCATGTCAGTAAGTAGAATTATAAGCAGATGTATGACTAGAGATAAAATGCTATACATAGAATCAATATTAAGAGAATAAAGGTTTCCCAATTTACTAAGGAAATATGTACACCAGACAAACACAGTAAGGCAACTTACAGGGTGATTGGGGTGCTTATCATCTCCATTCATGGTTAACCTGCCAGATACTCGCTCGGGAGGATAAAAATCTCTTCTACTAGCAGAAGTATGGACATGATCAATGGAACTGTCAGTCTTACCATCTTTCATAATAGCAGCAGGAGTATTTGTAGTACCCCTTCCAAAGAAACTACCGCCACTAAATGTACCCCTCACACGATCTAAGCATCTGGTCCCCACATTCCCCCGGCTAAAATTATTTGCGGAAGCACTCTTCATTCCAAGTCCATGTCCTGCTTCCACAGAGTGGGTCTTGATGCTGTCTGTCCAAGATTTCTGATGTTCTCGACGATCAATCTCACTCTTCTTATCACAGTCACGCTTCCGTTCAGCTTCTTTTCCTGCTCTTTTGTCCAGCTCTTCTGCATCAGAGTTGCTCTTACTAGATGACCTATCTTTTTCTTTCCTTCTCTCCTGGCGTTTCTTTTCTGCTTCCTTCTTACTCTCTATCTCCTGGGTAGGACTTGATGATTTGTGGTGATCTTTTTCAGCCTCCATTTTCTCATCCCTCAGCCTCCTACGTTCTTCTACCAACCTTGCAACCTCCTCCCTCTGCTTTCTTTCCTCTTCCTCCAAAAGCTCCTTTTCTAACCTAGCCTGTCTCTTCTCTTCAGCTTTTCTTCGCGCCTTCTCTCCCCTGCTCTCATGAAAGTTAGTCCCATTCTCGCCCCTCTTAGCCAACATTCCCCCATGTTCTGGATCAGAAGAACCATCATCCCTTGAAGAACTGATCCTAAAAATCTTTCTCCAAAGCCACCTAATGCTCAAGAAAAATGATGTCAGCAGATTGCAAGCCGAAACAAGAACACTTGAATAGGATTTCTCCGCCGAGCAAGTGTCATCTTCACCAAAAATACCACTCCCATTCTTCCACCAGTAGTTAGACTTCCCTGCAACAGGCCCACCAACCCAATTTCCATTTTCAAACCAATCTTGCCCACACATCCACCCATTCTCAGACCACCCCTTTCCATTCAGTATGTTCCCAGCTTTTCCAACAAGATCCTTAATAATCCCAGAATTTGAAATGCCCATGCCAGGTGGGGCAGGCACGTCCAAAACAGGCCTCTTTGATATATGCCCGCAATAAGAACACATAAACCGACCACCAGCTGGGTTCTGATCTCTATATGGAGTCAAGCAGTTACGACACCTTTTTGTTGCAGTCTTTCGAAGCTTCTGCAATTCTAAAGCCTCACACCTCTTCTTCTCCCTAAGCCGTGCATTTCTCCTCACCCGCCAAGCCGATAACTGGGGCATCAAAATCTCATACCAAAACAAAGTAACCAACAGCACAAAAACACAAGCAAGCCGAGGAGACGTGATTTCAAATCGAAATGCAGGTGGCAACAGCTGAGAGAGAGCCCATAAGCCTATAAGTGGTATAACCAACCAAGGCAGCATTGTCGCAACCCGGCGAGACCACTTTTGAATAACACAGAGTATACACATTATCCTCTAGCCCACACCTATCTTCCCCGTTTCTAAATTTAAGCAAACCAAACGCTAGAAGAATCCAACAAAATCCCGAATTCCTTCCTCAAAGCAATGGCCCCAATCGAAAACGCTAAACCTGACTTACCGTCCCAAATCAAAACCACCAACTCTCCAATTCCTCCAAGCTTCAACAACCCTATCACCATTTAAAAAATCAATAACCCTTCAATACAGAAAACAAAACCTAATGTAGCTCTGATATTAGAATACCCAATAAATTAAAACAATAAATACAGAACTAAGCTCCAGAAATGCATCAATTTAGGGTTTCAACAAAAAGAAGAAAAAAAAAGAAAGTCGGTGCCCGGCCAAGCGTCGTTCCCAGAGCTGGTCTAAAAGCAATCGAATGCGTGAAAGATTCAGAGACTTACAGATTAAGAATCCATCAGCGAAAGTCATACGGTGTTGGGCACCGACGGTGGTAGTGGCTCCGTTCTTACCAGGGAAGAAAATGTGAGAAAATACATTGAGAGAGAGAGAAATGTGAAAATAGATAAGGGCGATGGAGAAGAAAATGAGGGACTGTAAGAAAATTTGATGTTATTATATAAGCAATTCATGGACCTGGTCCGGTCTAGACCGGTTCGATAATAGTCGGTAGGAGTACCAAACACTAATATACTGATTACGGAGTACTATTTGTGGTTATTGTCCTTGACCAGAAAAAGGGGTTAATTAAGAATTAAGCAGCATATGAGGACATGAAGCGTGGAGCTTTCAATTTCAAAAAAATATATGAAGAGTTTCATGCTTTCATGGCCCCAGTGGTACTTTTGTTGGTAAAATAACTCAAAAATTGAAGGTCAAACCGTATTAAACTATAAGATATTTATTATTGGGTGAGGATAAGGGATAACTTTTTTGATATTAATGGTTATATTTTATATTTTATAGTATAATATATTATGAATTGTAAAATAAAAAATTAAAATAATTTGTTTGTTATGTTATTTATCAAATTTTGGTTCTTTGGATAGGTTAATGAAAAAATATATATTTTTTATGAATTCTTTAATTACAATGTGAATGATATATTTTTGATTAAATTGAAGAATGAGTAGAATGGAGAGATGCACGAAGGTAGGTTGCAACACTCTTATAGAAAAATGAGTGCATTAGGTTGATTTCATTAAGTTTCTAATTAAGTGTTAGATATCGAAAGAGAATTGTTACATTCTGAATAGTTGTATCTTTATTAAAGGCAGATAATTAGGCTAATAAAAAAAAGTTATTGTATACATTAGACCATGCAAAATCTAAGAATTTAAATGTTAAATTACCTACACATAGATCCTTTATTTATTTTAAAAATTAATGTTTTAAGGTCACGTTAGATTGACAATAATCTAAATAATTTAATAATAATCTTTTTTTGTTCGAATTAAAAAGTTATGATTCCGAGTCGCATAGTATATAGTTAAGATAAAATAAATGATGCAAAATAATTGCTTTCAATTATGCAATCAATATATACATATATATATATATAAAGGTCACCTTAGATTGAGCAAAATATGCATGGTAGCAAACTTTTTAAAATATATTATAATAAATAGAAAACACACATGATACCTTTTGAGTGTATAAATGAAAATAGTCGAATTAATATTCACTTATTTTTAAAATTACCATTAAAAGGTTAAGATAGAACAATTAAAATTTTGTTTAAAAAGCTTTAAAATAGTTATAAAACTAAAAAAATTCAAAAATTTTAAAATTTTGTTTTCAAATCTTGTCATGCGTTAATCTAATTTAACTTTGTACTAATTTCAGTTAGGAGTAGCTTGTAAATTAACCTAGTAATTGATTTGTATCGTTGATCTAAAGAATAGCATAACTTAGTTCAAAGGATTAAGGTTTTCACCCCAAAAAAAAAAAAAAGAAAGTGTAGTTTCAGGTTTATTATTCCAATTGTTCTTTCTAAGTCATGCCATGTAGATAAAGGAATAATTCTTCTAATATTTATTTTGCATCTAGAAAGTTCCTTAAGATTGTTGAAGACTACTTTATTGGGAAAATATTGTGTCTTATCTGCTTCCCAAAATAGAAGCACATGTTCCTAATTCCTAAATAGGATTTGGAAAAAGATTCAATGAGGATTCTACTTTTGGACTGAACAGCTAGAGAAGCGTACCGGTTTAGTTTACCAGATCATTTGGGCCCAACACCAAAGCTAGGTCCATGGGCTTTCACACCGTATATTCTCATGTTCATGACAAGTCGGGGGGCTCAATCAATTTCTAAAACAGTAAAACCAGGACCAGGTCCAGAAATTATTCTTGGACCAAAATGTACGCTCACAACGGAGGAAATTTTTGTACTTAGCCATAGACTCATAATTCCTTTTTCCCTTCACAAAGCCATTGTAAAAATGTTAGTAGTAAGTTATTTAAATAATTTAATAGTAATTTTTTTAATAAAGATATAAAATCTTATATTCAAATCATATGGTATAAAAATGAGATAAGCATACAACTCAAGTAACCTAATAGTACTTAAAGAGTTGCTAACAACCTAAGTAATTCAATAATAATATTCTTCCGTTGAAAGTAAAAAGTCATGAATTCGAGTTGCACGATATGCGTGTGGGGTGAGATATGAGATGGGAGAGGATTGTCTTCTGTTGTGCAATCAACATAAATAAAAAAAATAGTACCTAAAGAGTTAGCAAAGGAGTTTGCTTCATATTTTATTGACCAAGTTTTAATTTTTTGGAAAGGTTAATGAAGAGATAATCCATCGTGAAGTCCTTAGTCATGACATTAATGACATACTGTTAATCAAACTTGAGAGGAATTAATTTTTAAGTACATAAAAATTGACATGAAAACATTATGACCGTTAAATTAAAAAAATTCTAATAATAATAATCTTCTTCCACTTTAGCTCTATTATGTATGTGGTGATGGTGGTAACTCCACTAGCTAGTGGCACCAATGAAATATTATTTGCATATACTTTAGAAAGAAAAATGGAAGGAAAATTATTTTAAAAAAAAAAAAAAAAAAAACCCAAAGGCATTAAAGGATGATGGCTTTTGATGAATTTCTTAGGATGTATGTTTTTTTGTCCCATTGACTACCAAAAATGCAGCGCTTTGCCGGCCATTAATTATAATGCTAAGTAGGTACAAAATCAAGCAAATAAAGGAATAACCAGCATTACTTTGTGCTATTCTGTTGGATTTTAGCCAAATATTATACTAACATTAATCCAAAGTCAAAAAAAAAAAAAAACGCTTTTTGCCAATTCCAATACTCTCTTCATTGACCTTAGGGAAATGATTTAGATGCTGAAATATGGAGAGGTTGAGGTTGGGTGGATCGAGGACAAATGAACTGGAAGTCACGTATCTTTTCCATTTAAAAAAAATTATTAAATTGGTCGTGAAATGCTTGTAATTTACTGCTAAAATTGGTCATAAAACTTGTGTTTGGGTTCTACAAATGTTGAATTGGCCATAAAATGTGACTAGAGAATAAATTTTTGGCAAAACCATTCTTTAAGTCCTCAAACTTACCTCATTTTAGCATATATGTCTCTAAATTAAAAAAAAACAAGCAAATAAGTCCTTAAACTGTGCAATTAAAGCAAATTAGTGCTTTGTTAATGACTATTGATAGTTTTTGTTAATATTAACTTACGTAATTGATAAAATAAATTACTTTCATTAATGCACATAATTTATCTTTGAAATTAATAAAAAGTGCACAATTTCGATTTAGTTGCTAATTTTATGTTGGATTTTTTTTATTCTATACCCTTAAAATACATGATAAGTAAATGTATATTTTTATAATTAGTTAGCATTAAAAGTGTAAATATTAATTTTGATTTAATTATTAACCAATTAAAAGATATAAGTTAGATAAACCATTTTATATTATTGCATTAATGTTAAACGTTCATTTTAATTGTCAAATCAGTTGATTTGTTAACAAATGGCTGATTTGTTGCAATTTGTGCCTTTCAAGTGCCTATTATTTTGCTTGTTTTTAAGTTTAGGGGGCTATATGCTAAAATGGAGTAAGCTTAAGGGCTTATGAATTGAATTTGTCTTGTAAAAGCGCTTTCATTTTTTGATGGATGTACAGGCGTTTTCTAAGGGTTTGGAGTAGGAGTAAATCGGAAAGGTCAATTTGCCTTCCTTTTTTGCTTTTTAAAGAAGAAAAACTTAACCAATTAATTTTTTTTTTTTTTTAAGTTTAGAGTAGTCATATAAAGGGTCAAAATTTTGGATGAAAATTTAAGATCAATAATGTGATATATATTATGTCATTAAATGAATTAATGCATATAATATTACATATTCGATTAAAGTGAAAAAATTTAATCTTAAAATAATATAGAGTCCATCATTTAATATTTTTTTTTGATCGATATTACATGGGGCGGGTTTGAACCCTGCCCAAGGGGGAGGGGGAGTGCATCTTCAATGTGGTCGGAGACCACTCGGTCCGAAGGGCCAGATGCCCATCATTTAATATTTTAAATAAAATGATTTATATTATGTTATGAGTCCCAAAATTTTCATTTCATTTATGATTATCCTTAAGTTTGAGATGTGATTTGCCTACTCATTCGGCCTCTGTACTCTGGCCCCTCTAATTATTTTCAACACCTTTTCACTATTATGGAATTCAATCTTGAACCAACTAACTAATATATATGGAGAAGATATTATATTATTTTTTATCTTAAATTGCACAATAAAAATAATTATCTCTCATCTTTTTAAGTATATTTGGTTTGAAGAGAAAAAAAAAAAAAGGGAAAATGATTTCTCTATTTAGTTATTAAAAAATTAAAAAAAAAAGAAGAGGAAAATGAAGTCTTTTTATTTTATTTTTAATTCTTTTGTCTATCCAAATCAAAAGAATTATCCCCTCTCTCATTTGGTAAAAACCTACTTTTAACTTCTTACCTTATCAAATTTGAAAGTTTTAACAATTTATTTTATATTATAATACTTTTAGTTCCTTACCTTATTAAATTTGTAAGTTTTAACCATTCACCTATTACAATCAAAGAAAATAGCCATTACTTTATACTGACTGTTAACTCTGTTAGTTGAAAGTAGATTTTTATGAACTAACAATCAACTAATAACTAATTAACAGAATTAACGAAATATTATAAAATTAATTTTGTTAATTTTGTTAATTCTATTAGTTGAAAAAGAAGACTTTGACAGTTAACAATTAATAGTCAACTAACAGTCAGTTAATAGAGTTAACAGTCAGCTGATAGAACTAATAAAATGTTATAAAGTGAGTGCTATTTTCTTTAATTTTAATAGGTGATGGGTTAAAAGTGTCATAATATAAAATAAGGGTTTAAACCTATAAACCTAGTAAGATGAGGAGTTAAAAATATCATAAATAAGGTAATGGATTAAAACATTCAAACATAATAAGGTAAAGGGCTAAAAGTAGAATTTTGCCCCATCATTCAACCTACTTCACCGCATGTCAACAGGCTTGAATATATGATTTTTAACTTTGCTTAGAAAAACATAGCCAATGTTAATGATTTTTTTTTTTTATTTTAATGCCAAGTTAAGGACCCAAACAAATGAGAAAACGGAGTTTTGACTTAAAAAATCGCAGTAGTACACAAGTACTATTTCTGTTTAAAAAAGTACACAAGTACTATTTATTTTGATATATTTTGTTATCTATCTATGTTATTAATGTGTTTAATTTAAAAAGAATAAAATTTTTTTAATTAATTAAATTATAATATTTAAAAATATTATAATTTAATTAATTAAAACATTTCTTTTTACTTCCACTCCACTTCCAAATATATCATAAGTCAAAAAGACTCTTTACACCCACCTTTCTTTTTTGGCAAAACCATAAGTTAAGCCCCTGAACCGACCTCAGAATCGCTATTAAGCCCCCAGACTCTAATTGAAGCATTTAAACCCCTGAACTCTGCAATAGAAGCAATTTGGCCCTTACTTTCACAGCCAACTTAACTGCTGCTAATTGCCGTTAACTGCTGTTTGGAGGACCACCTCGTGTGGCGCATCTCATTCCTACGTGGCAAGGGACTT